TCGAATATGATCATGCAAAGAAACACTATTGCTTCTAAACAAAGTAAATTACTTCTATGGTTCCACCTTGACCTCACCTTCGAGAATTGGTTGACGGTGCATTTCTATGGTAATTACAAAACTGACGCCATTTCGTGGCAGGTTCACAATTTATCGGATGCATTTTGTCAAGTAAGAGATACAGAAGACATGAAGTTTTCACATGTTCATAAACCGAAGAAAAGCTAGCCTTAAATTGAAGTGGACAAACGAAGCTTATTATGCCAGATACCTCGAATAAAATATTAGAATTTGAAGCAAAAGACTTTAGGAACGAGTGAAAGAGTATCTCCAGTTAGTGGTTCTAGTTGTGCTATCATTCCTAAACAGCAATGGCAGCGGATTCAGTCAGCAACGTACTGTAGCAAAAATTTTACAGAATCCAGGTCGACCGATCTTACATTAGCATTGGTTAGCTCAACCAACACACCTTACCTGATGAAACTAATCAAACAACCATGGAAGATTTTAGCAAAGAGATGATTCGTCAAACAGTATATACATAGATTTGTGAAAAGAAGTGATGACTCAACTCATGTGAAGCATTGGTAATAGTTGATTGATTTAAACTAAATAAATGTAAGTCGTTTCGTGGGTGCTGAGCGATTATAGGTTTACAGCGCTGCGTCGACAACGAAGACAGATTACAATAATTAACATAACGTCAAACATGAGAATGCAATCGAAACAGAGGCATCGCGAGCTGGCTGGGCTTAGCGCTGGTCATACTTTGGGCTCGATGATTCCATGTACTCGCCACGCCATCACAATAAGAGCGAACACTCTCCTCTTTTCCCATATCGATTCCCGTGGAAAAGCCGACGAGGAGGCAATGGAACGCAGTCGCTACCAACGTCATCACACTCGTCGCTGCAGCGAAGTTGACCACGGGCAGGTCTGATCACTGCTATATAGCAGCACGACACCAACGTTGTAGTGTTTAGGAAAGAGGTTGGCTGATCAACTGATGCGTAAAAGAAAGAAGCCGGACTTTCCACGTTCGATTGTCCATGATTTTTGACACAATAATCTCTATCCAATTGCGCTTTCTAAAAGCACAACCAAATAAAAACAATTCAAAATCATAATTTAATGGTTAACATTCCAACGTCTCTCGCCTTTCAAAACACTGAAAATTGGCCAATAAAGCCCATTTTCATTGGTCTGGTTTTATGCAAATTAATGTTAGCATGATAGTTTTAACAAAAGAAGTTTGTGAAAGATCGAACAAGCAGAAGCCGGTAATTTACCCTAGAAAATTGTATTGCTAAAAGCTGCGCTGAAACAGAGGAATTTGAAACGACTGAAATTTCCTAGACGCCTCTAGCTACACTTTAAAGTGAGATTTTTAATGCAAAATTAAACGAAATAATGATTCTATTATCTACACAAATTTAAAGCATGATGAGAAAGGAATCTATGGTGGATTAGATTGCTATGAGCATCAGCAACGTGTCTAATGAGAACACGTTCCTAAAACGATTTTGACCACGATTGAGTGATCGCCTTAGTGAACAGAAAGCATCAACATGTACGTGGTGTTATTAAAGTTGTCCACCTTGAGACAACATATACTTTAGTCATACTTACTAAAGTTTGCAACTGGCCAAACTTTTTGTTTACATAGTTGTCTCCTCGTTCGCCATGTACTAATGATCATAAGGAATCTACCGGATACTGGGAGCAGAGCATTTCAGCAAAAGTGGATTATTCATATACAACGCATATTTTTATGAATGGTAACTTTCACGTCATTTTTCAAGATCACGCACTTAAATTCCAGAAGTTAACGAATTATACTTTCTCTGTGTAAGTTATTCTAATGCACGCCCTTCCGTTCTACTG